TATATAATGCAATTAAAGGGGGCTCCGCGGCGCCACCTACAGGCCGCCCATGGGAAGGGAGCTGGGCCGGAGACCAGCGTTCTAGACCAAGCACTCCTCCACTGGAGGAAAATAAACGGACTGCACCAGGTTGAGGTGGCTGCTCCAGAGGGAGAGGTTGGAGCCAGCCAGGTTACTAATGTAGCCTTTTGGTCCCTCCTGCTGAGTTCACTGTGTTATTTCAGCCTCCTGCAAATCTGTCTAGACTCAGAACCCCAGCCTGGGCAGCTGCTCAGAGGGGAGGCCCGGAGGTGGGAGCCTGGTAACCACCTGGGGGACCTGGGGGCTGAGGAGGACTCCCAGCTCTCTGGCCTCAGGGGGCTCCTTTCAGTCTCAAGCTGCAATCTATTTCCATTCCATTCAACTAAGCTTGTGTCGAATGCTAACCCTGGGCAAAGGCTTTCAGAATGTTCCGGTGAAATCCCTCATTTTGCCTCTAAGAGGGAAAGCTGCTTGTATAGGCTCCGGATAAGTGGCAGAGCTGGGTGTGGCATCCAGACGTTTTGACCCTAAGCACACACTCCTATTGTGGGAGTTTACAGATGAGGAAACTGAGGCCCAGACGGGGAATGGGATTATAGCCTCTACTTGTAGCTAAGGGAGGGGAAATAATGGAAATACTCCTAGTGTGTCCAAGGACAAAAGAGAAGGGCTTCTAGGGGCCCTGGGCAATACCTTAGCCACTCTGCTGGGGAGAGAGGAGGAAGGAAGAAAGGAGGGAAGGAAGGAAGGGAGGAAGATTGGAAGGCAGGCAGGAAGGCCAGCTGGCCTGGGACCAGTGCTCCCTCCCCCATCCCTCTGCCCTAAACTACAACACTCTTAAAATAAATTAGACTCTGGGGCCTCAAGGATTCTAGCTTTTTCCCAAAGAGTTTCTATAAGAGTGGGTCACATCTAACTGGCAGTGGAGAGGGGACTTACTTCCCCAGGACTGAAAGAACCTGGCCCAGAAAGGGGAGTGGGGTAGATGAAAAAAGCAGGACTATCAAGAGTCCAAGAGGGTGGAAATATTCCGCCACCTTGTCCTCGTGCCCAGTCTCTGGTCTGGGGCAAGGAGGTGGGACACTGGAGAGCCACAGGGAGGTTGGTCCCTTCCTCCCCTCTCCTACGTCAGTGGAGACCCAGTGTAGTCTCCTCTAGGGTGGGGGGAGGCAAGAACAGATGCTGTAGGGCCAGCTGGCCAGAGAGTTCTCAATTAGACTTTGTTTCTCAGCTTTAAGGCCCTGAGCCCCCAACCTGGGCACCCCAGCCCAATTACTGGGGCTGCATTAACCTCTTGGTGCCCCAGGCCGTTAATGGAATGTTAATTGGTCTAATGGGTTTCATGTCAACAAGTCCTAATGAGCTCCTTCCTAACGAGCTTGGTCTTTTTATTTCCAAGCCTGTTTGTCAACACACTGGAGTTCAAGGCTCCAGACTGAGGGCCTCACCTGAAGGGTGTGGGGAGCTAGAGTTGAGAAGACAGAGGGTGTAGCTACTCTAGGGCTCCCCCATTCCTACCTCTTCAAAGGGTATCCTTCCATGCCCCTCACCCACCCAGCCCATGCTCCCAGCTTCACTCGGTTTGAGCTCTGGAAAATGGCATTTTTAGCTCCTTTTGATGATAGTATCAGTGACACAAATTATTTCTTCTTGGATGTCATTGTGGGGTTGAGAGTTGCATTAGGGTTTTTTTTTCCTCCCCTCCTAGCTGTCATAAAATAAAGGTTTTCAACATTAAAAGCAATCTTTCGACGTGAGCCTCTCCTCCATGGGAAATTTCCCTGTGATAAATTGTTCTGGTGTGTCCTCCATTTGCAGTCTTGGCTGTGCTCCCTTGAGTGCCCTGGTGTCTGGTAACGGAGCGCTGGGGCCTCTGGACAGGGCGGGGCAGCCTCTCCCAGACAAATGCTCAAAATCCCTGGGCTGGGTGTCTGAAGCTCAGGCTTGCTGTTCCCCTCTGCACTCCCAAAGAAAGTGCAGGAAGGGTGCGTTTCCCCAAAGGGCTGGGCACCCAGAGATCACTTGAGGAGCTCCCTGTACCCCAGCTGCAGGGTCTCAGACAAGAGAAGTCAGATCCCCACATTCCTCTCCGGATGGTTCCATAGCCCCTCAGCCCCCAAGCCTAGCTGGTGGGGCTTCCCAAGGATGGAGCATTATATGTGTGGGTGCAGGAGGTGAAGAAAAGAACGTGGGCCCTGGGTCTCCCCAGCATCCACTTACCAGAGGTTTCTCTGCCTGAGTGAGCAGAGAAGGAAACTTAAGCCCGTGATGAAAAGGCCTTCAGTTCTCTTGCAGGAGAAGCCCCAGGGGGCAATGGGGCAGTGGACTAGTGGCCTGTGGTGACCCCAGAGAGTCGGAGGAGGGGGAGGGGCAAAGGCCATCTGGGTCCTCAGAAAAAATTTCCTGAGTCCTCTGAGGCCGGTCTGGCCCTACCTCTGCAGCCCCCCAGGCTCCAGACTGGGAAATCTCTCAGCCTCCTGGTGATTGTTTCTGGGTGCAGACCGCTCTTAACTACCCCTCCTTACTGCCAGGCAGGGCCGCCCTCGTGTCACTGCAAATATACTGGAGACTTTTGGCACTACAACCCACGGAGGTTCACTTTTTTCAGCAAAGGAGCATCTGAGAATGGTCCCGGGAAGGGATCTGCCTTCAGGACCCATAGGCCAGAGTTCAGGAAAAGCTGAGCCTAACACATCCCAGAATTATTCCTATTTCCTTTCTTCCCTCAGGGGCCACACCCATTCGAATCTCTCAAAAGCTTTGATTCTGGAAGTTCTTTCTGCTGTTTCAAGAAGTCTTTCTTTTCTTTTTCCCCACCCTGCTCTGGAAGGAACCCTGTCACTCGGCTCTTGCTTTCCTTGGATGTTTACCATCTGCAGACAAAGACCCAGCCATGCGAGCAGGCACCGGTTCCCTGCCTGAAGGGACAGGCTCCCTCCAGGGCCCTTCTGAGCCTCTTTGTGAATCTGGGTCTGTGAGATGGGGCGACCCTGAGAGCTTCTGTCGTGTAGACATCCTGGTGGCCCATCTTCTGAACTAAGGCCACGGGGTGAGGTATAGGCAGCAGAAGCCGAGGGGAATTGCCTGCAGTCACATCTTCGGCATAGGAAAATACATCTTGCCACCAGAATTGAACTAAGGCCACGGGGTGAGGTATAGGCAGCAGAGGCCGAGAGGAATTGCCTGCAGTCACAACATCTTCGGCATAGGAAAAGACATCTTGCCACCAGAACCTCCATTTCCCTTTCCGCTTTCCCACTGGACAGACTCACCTCTCCAGTAACAACACTTCTTGTAGAGAAGACCTTGCCTCCTTCCATCTGTCTGTGCCCCCAGCACAGTTCTTTGCATGTAGCTGATATTTATCAGGTATTACTTGAATGAAAACCTAGCTTTCTAGTGCTTTCGAACGTGCACTTAACGTCAAAGCATCCTTGGTACTTGGGAGGCCGAGGTCAACCAGAGCTGATCTTTCCTCCTCTTCCTGAAAAAGAACCAACACACGCGCGCGCACGCGCGCGCACACACACACACACACACACACACACACCACATGGACCTGGAGACCCTACCCTTTATTTAGGCAGTTCCAGAACGCCCTCAAATTCCCACTGAATTCAGCCATGTAAACATTTTGGAAGACCCTGGCGAGGGTGTGGTGAGAGGGCATCAGCACCCCGGTCCCTGCCCTGAGGAGAGAAGAGGATGAAGAAAGAGGTCTGTGTGTCATGCTCACAAAGGTCTTTGTCTCATCAGCATCCTCCACCTGGGAGGATAGGTCCTGCACCCCACAGTAAGGTTCTTAGGGTCTCCATGCCCCACGATGAATAGTCCTCTATCAGGCAGCTTGCCCGCGGCTTCTAGCTCTGAATATTTCAGGGCATCTCCTGAGCTAAACGGCTCTCTGGGCATCCTGTTTCCTTGGGTGGCACTGCCAGGCTGTCTCCACTTACAGCAGTGTGTTCTGGTTCAAGAAGAAACACCGAGGACCAGTGGGCACAGCTCGCTTCCTGGTATTGGGTGGGGGTTGGGAGCCTAGTAGGGCAGACTGGGGTGTGGTGGTGGGGGGACTGGGAACCTGGAGACTTGGGTTCCTTTCCTGCTTCACTAACACCCTGCCCTCAAATATACACGCACCCCTTCTCTTGGCCTCCATCTTTTTCTCTGTAAGAAGGGGGACAACCATGGGCTCTGACAGCTCCCCTGGCCCCATATGTCTGTGATTCTACACTGAATGAAGGCTAAGGAAAGCCTTCCTTAGTAGAATGAGCAGGCACGTTCATGAGCCCACAGTCACAAACAAACACCCAGAAAACCCCGCAGGTGATGGGTGCTCACCCAGGCTTCCGATGTTGCTAGAAGACCTCCGGGTCACCCGGGCTGCTGCTTCCTCCAGTTTGAGGAAGGGACCAGCGAGCCACGTGCCTTCCCTCCACTAGGGGGTGTAGTGAGCACACCCAGGAGGGGGCGGAAAGGTGGGAACTGGAGCTGGAAGGGCGCTGGCTGAGGCCTCCTTGCCCTGAGGGTGCAGGTGGTTGCTCTGAAGACCCGGAATAGGGAACGCACCATTGCCTTGTGGGTACTCGAATGGCCTCCAACCCCGCTGTGCTGCCACCAGCCAAGCTCCGACTCCCTTTCCTCCCTAACCCCTCACCCCCGACTGATGCCGAATGAAGCATGCCAAGCTCCGACTCCCTTTCCTCCCTAACCCCTCAACCGCAACTGATGCCGAATGAAGCGTGGCTTCCTATAGGTTGTTTTACATCTGATTTGAATATCATTTCTTTCAAGTCAAATCTCACAGCAAGCCCCTCCCCACCCAGGCCCCTCCCAGCAGCTCCCATCTGTTCCCCTAAAGGGCTTTCAGTCCTTGCTGTGTCTGGTCAGTCCAGGTGGCCCAGCCTGAGAAGATGTCCACTGGCTGCTCGCCGGACTCCCTGTGCTCAGTATTAACCTGCGGCCCCTTTCTCCTGCCACAGATCCTCGATGTGAATCAATCCCATGATGCAACATGCCTCCCCAGCCCCAGCTCTGACGATGATGGCCACGCAGAATGTCCCTCCCCCACCCTACCAGGACAGTCCACAGGTGAGTGTCCACCAACTGACAGGGGCGGTGTGTGGCCTTCCGGGGACAGAGGGCAGGGCCTGGTGCTCTCTGGGCTCTTCCCTGTCAGGCCTGGGGAGGCCTTTCTGGGGAGAGCCCAGCAAACAGACCCCGGAGGGGAGTCGTTGCATTTGACAAACACAAGATTCAGATCCTCTCTGGGTAACTGTCACCAGCATCTAGGACTGTCGCCTAGAGCACTGAGTCACAGTCCTGTCACCACCTAACCCAACTTCCCACTCGAAGCAGACATCAGACAAGTGTTCCAAACTCCTCACTTGGGGAGATACAGGTCATCGCGTCTGCCTTTGAGTGTTTGAGGAAACTTCTTAATTAGAGGTTCCTTCATACCCACTCCGCCTGTTCATGGTCACTGGAGCCCGTGTCCATCCTTCTCTGCCTGCCTACTGGAGAAATCTCCCTTCTCCTCAGGACCCGCTCGGCTTCTATCCGGGAAAAGGCCAGGCCTGTTTCTCTACGTCCTCCAACCCTTCTCTCTTGTTCCTGGTTCCCACCCCTCAGCTCAGACACAGCTGCCCACCTCACCCCCCAAGTTCTTCTGAGACTCTCCCTGGTTGCGGCTCCTGTGGAAGGCAGCGCCTCTGTGCCATCTTCCGGTTGTCTCTTTTCCTCCTTCTGGAAGCCTGGCCCAGCTTTTGCGGGTTGGGTTCCTGCACTTCTTGAGCCGATCACTTCTAACCTTTGCTCCCCCCGTGTGCACCTCCCCCCGCGCTTCGTTTTTTCTGAAACTCTGAGTTAGTTATGAGGCTGTGCTTTCACAGAAGCCTCCATTCTCTGGCCTTGACCTTCACACTCTCATTTTCTCTACCCTGGTCTCACAAGTTAATAATAATTCAATAATTTTTATCGAGTATGTGTAATATGAAATGCAGCCAGCTAGAATATTCATTCATTCATTTAACGAATGTGCAGCGAGTGCTTCCTATGTGCCAGGCAGTCTTTCTCACTCCTTCCAGCGGCGTCTTTGCCCTGCCTTCATATCCCTCCTCATTAGGCATTTCAAATACAGCTCTTCTCATGGACAGCGTGAAAGACCTGTGCGTGATGAGAAGGATATTAAGTTGCAGACACAGGATGGGCAGACGTTTGCTCACATTAGGTCGTCTGGCCCTGACCGTCAGCCTAGTGTGAGCATATAGTGACTGCTCTATCCATCCCCCATGAAATTACACTTTACAGAGTGTCCAGCACACAGACCACCACTGACTCCTCAGCCTGCGAAAGTCCAAAAGCACTTGTCATTCACCAATCTTCAAACACAAGTCCTTTGGTCCCTACCCCTACTCCTGCATATCAACTCCATGTTCCTTCCTAGGCTCTCCCCAGCCTCCCCTCATACCCAGCAAACCGTCTGCCCATGTCAGTAACTTTCCTCCAATGACCACAGGTTGGACTTGGCACTGACATGGTTCTGCTATTTGAAAACTTCCACATGAGCGATAGGAATGACGGGCCCTTTCCTTCTACAGTCAAAATGAAGAACAGGAGGCCTGGGAACCCGGGGGCCACAGTGGGAACAACCATTATTCTTCTCAGTAGACACAGACCCATGCCTTTATCTGCTCAGGCAGTGGTGGATACCTGAAGTGTTGACGAAAAGGCAGGAACTTTGGTTCTGTTTCTTTTGTGGCTTAATGCTGCCCTCCACGCTCCCCAGGAGGACTGGGAGCGGCAATGGGATACTTCCTACATTTAGCAGGCTGCGGGCACAAAGGGACAGACTGGGATGGAGCCAAGAGGCCAGAGAGTACTGGATTGGCACAGCTGGCAGCTGCTGCCCCCTACCCACTTCATTCTGCTGCCTGGGCAGCTGGGAGAAGTTTGGGTTTGATGGAGATTAGCAGGAGAGCTGCAGGAAGGGCCTGTGTTGTCCAAGAATGCTGATCCGGGTGTAGTTAAGTAGAGGAGCCTAATTTAATTCTCAGCATACAGCTGAGCATTAATACAGCCCAGCTGCCGAGGGAGGGAGTGGACGTGGGGCTGCAGCTCCAAGGCACTGGGCTCCCAGAAGCCACCACTGAGCTGCTCTAGCCTTTTGGGGAAGGAAGGGAGGCTCCAGTTCCCCACCTAGGACCTCAGAGCAAAAGCCCAAGGCAAGGGCTGTGTCAGGACTCTCCTCTCTGAAGAGCCACTAGTGCTTCGCCATTGAAAATACATATATAGCAAGAGAATATAATAATTTGCCCTGTGCACCTATTTGTGACCCGAGGTCTAGGCATGTCTCACCAGAAGTCTCCGTGTTCATGGTAAAGCGACCAGACCGAGGTCTGGGGTCTTTGTGGCCTCGGCTAGGCCACTAGGCTATGGCACATTGTCATGGGGCTTCTCTGGGCCCAGCTGGTTCCCAAGAAAACGGATCAGGGCAGGGAATCATGGGAGGAGTTAGGGCAGGGACAGAATGGGTAGGTGAGGTCCCCAGAACATAGACTCATGGGAAAGGCTGTCTTCAGAAAGTGCTAGACTTTGAGGCCATTTGGCTTTTGGGGGGCCCTTCTCTCCACTCTCAGGGGCTGCCGGGAGTGGGTTATGAGTAAGGAGTGTCATCTGCATGAGATTGTTGCTAGGGAACTTGCTCGAGTCCTCTTGCCTTCTTCCCTTTATCCTTTCGAGAGACTGGGCCCGGCTTCTCAGGGGAAGCCCTGCTCACTGCCCTCGTAATGCTCGTTATTCCAGAGAACCAGCTGCCCTCTGACACTCCGTGTCCTCAGGAAAGCCAAGCCTAATGGAAACATGGGTCGGGCACACGGGGGCCCTCTGGAAAGGATTCCCACCCCCTCGTCATTCCTGAAGGTCTAATCTCATTACTTTTGGACCCGCTATGACTCGTTTCCTCGAGGCCTGCACAGCTGAGCACATCTCTAGATCACGTCCTTAGGAACCCAGTTTTTTCCACGGGCAAAAATGGCCAGTCTCTGATATGAAGTCCCCAAAATGAAAAAGGAAGCGAGAAGCGGAGCCTTTCCTCTGAGACCCATGCAATCGTTTTAATAATGTTCCCGTTGTGCTAATGGCTAGCAGTACCGAGCATAATCTATTCAAATGCACAGGAGAACCTCACTTTGGAAAATTAGGAATCTGCATTAAAAAATTCCCAAGCCCCGGACCTTCTTTATAATAAATTAGAATTTTTTTTTTTTTTTCTAGGCAAGTTCTTAACTTGGCAATTTCATTTTTGAAGTTTGGGGAATAAAGTTATTAAAAATGAGGGAGGCTTTCTTTTTTTTTTTTTTCATTTCAGTAGAGAAGCATTAATGTTTCTGCCCCACACTATATTTGGGCACGCCAAGTGGTGTGATGGCCGAGCAGCTGCCGGCCCCTCAGCCTGTTTCAGTCCATCGTGGGGAAACTCCGTGATGACTCGTAAGGACGTCACCCTGTGCTGAGTGTGTACAAAAGACAGACCAGACCGTAAGCTTTGAAAGTGCAGAAGCGGGGACCACTGAAACCCTTCCTGTGGCCTGTTTTCTCTTTCTGGTGGCTTCCTGTTAAGTTCTGCCAGGGTCACAGCACCCCCTACTGTCTAACTACAGCACCTCAAGTCCAGCGTGCTGTGGCTGGGCCCTTGATCCAGACCCCCACTTATGCCCTGAGAGGCAGGGGCGAGTGACTTGGGATCCTGGAGTTCTACAATGATTGTTTAATGAAAACATCGTCTCCAGGGAGACCTGCATATGAACTAGGTGTGTGGTCCCTCTATTCACTAGGTTGTGTGAATTCCTTCTCACGCTGCTTCCGTTCTTCTCCATCTCTGCCACAGCCTGGCCACCTGCCACCTGGACTCTCACAACCCCCTCCTCCCACTGCCCAGCGCCCCACCAATCCTACAGAACTCTCAAAGTTACTATGTTCTCTGAAGTTGCTCCCGCTCCCAGCAAGTGTCACTCCAGTCCCCTCCCAGAATCTTCGTGGTAACACAGCAGCCCTCTCACTTCTTCTAGGCATACACCCTTCACTCACGTACTCTCTCTCCACCTCTGAAGTGTCCTTCACCTTCTCCCGTTTCCTGTAACAGTCCACATGCCATATCACCCACCAAGTAAAGTTCTTTCTTCGGTACCTCCACCAGCAATTTCAGAAAACCCTCTGAATTTGCTAGTTTCTCTACCCTCACCTTATCCACACACTGAAAACTCTTGCAATCAGCACCCCCCACTCTTTCTCAAATACAGACACATATATAGCATTCCACAAATATCCTTGCCCTTGGCTTATAGGAAAACAAATATTGTATCTGGTCTAGTCGTGTACATATTCAGAGTTCTGCCTTCCTCTGTCTGCTTGTCCCCAGCACGCCAGGCTGCGTGAAAACAGAAATGCTGGCGGGTCCTGGTCTGACCCACGAGGCACAGACCCTATGAATGAGGGCACTCAATGAACAGTTTAGGAACCAGTTGATATGTAGGTATCTAGGTGCTTATGTAGTATGAATTGATGATGGGCGCTGTTAAAAGGGTTTGGCAATTCACCAAGGGTGCAGCCTCATTATTGACCAGAGGGAGGCAGGACAGGCAGTCAGAACTCTCAGTCCAGGAACAGTGTGGAAAGCTCACGAAGGAAGCCATGTACTTCCTTAGGACCTTTTGGCCAAGGCTGTGTTCCTCCACCCCCACCATCCACCCGCAACCCTGGGAGTGAGGAGAATGGTGTTCAGGACCCCAGGAAACTCTGCTTGGAGATCTGAGGTCAAGGTGATGCTATCTAAACTCTCCTGCCAGCGGAAGGCTAAGCCAGGCCAGCCATGTCAAGGATGCCAGACCTGGCTCTCTGTCCCTCCGAGTACCTTCTTTCTCTCTCTGTTCCAGCACCATTCCCACTTGGGTGGGGCCAGGGGAGCAGTCATCCCAGGGAAGTTGGACCTTTGATCAGTCATCGGGGTCCCCATCTGGTTTCATTAACTGGAGGCAGAGGGGGTGGCTGGGGCTCCTGGCTGTGAATGTCCCTGTCCAGGCCATGCAGCTGTG